GGGGAGGGGGAAGGGGGAAGGGGAGGGGGAAGGGGGAAGGGGAGGGGGAAGAAAAAAGAAAAGAAAACCACCATGAATGAATAGAGTAATGAATATACTCCAAATCTAAACTAACTAAAATACCTAAAAATCCTATCTATTTAGAATTTTAAACTAATACAATTTTGTCAGAAACAACTTGAAGACCAAAGAAATTAAACCATTAGTTCAAAGGTCTTCTTATCAAAAAGAAATGTTAGCAGATGTGCTCTGGGACAGTATTTAATAAATCTCTATAAACAAGGGAGGGGGGATTAATATTCGACAAGAAATGTACTCACTATCTTACTTACGTAACTGTACCCCCTCTGTACATCACCCTTACAATAAAAGAAAACATAAAAGAAGAAATCTGTATAAGCTGAAGAGATAAGAGATGGAGCTCACCACCAACCTCTAGCAAAAAATATAGGGGGAAAAAAAAGCAGCAGCAGCAGCTGTGGACATGCCAAATAGGCAAATCCTGAGATGCAATTATAAAGTCTAAGAAACTATAGCCACACAGCCACCTGATCCTACTCATACAGCAAGTGGAAAATTAGAACGGTACAGGCAAGTCCTGTGTCCTTTTCCTTTTTCCACATAACTTTTTCCTATCTCTTATTCCCTGTGGCTTTCCTTGCCACAGTCTGATCCTTTCCAGTTGTTCTATTTCACATTTGAACTCTTAAAATTCCTTCTCTGTTCTTTTTCCTACTTACTACACACAAATAACATTCTAATTAAAAAAACTTAGAAAAGAAGTTATAGAAAAATAAACATAAAAGAAGGCCTTCACAAATTATATTTGTTTCTTCTGTATTTTTTTTTTGGGTCCGGTCGTGGGGCCTGAACTCTGGGCCTGGGCGCTGTCCCTCAGCTCTTCAGCTCAAGGCTAGCGTCCACTTGAGCCACAGTGCCACTTCAGCTTTTTTTTTCTTTTTGCTTATGTGGTGCTGAGGAATCGAACCCAGGGCCTCAGGCATGCAAGGCAAGCGCTCTACCACTGAGCCACCTTCCCTGCCCCACAAATTATATTTGTTGACATGAATAAGGCACACTTGCTGGAGGTGTGGTTCTAGTGGTAGTAAGCCAGCCTAGCAAGTATGAATTCAAATTCAAACACACACACACACACACACACACACACACAAAGGAGCCCCCTTATTTCCTGATCTGTAATCTCCTTGATATGTTAAAACATTATGCCCATGTTACAGAAGAACTATTAAAAACACACATCAAGTTCAGCATCATGGTGCATGCTTGCAATCTCAGCACTCAGGTGACTCAGGCCAACCTCTGCTACCCACATTTGAAAAATAAAAAAGGGAAAATAAAAGCAAGAAGTAAACTAGGAAGCAGGAACATTACCTGAACCGGGGACAGTAGGAAGAAGATGAAAAGAAATAAATACCACAAACCACACGTTTTTGTGGTGGTAAGTCACTCCCATTTTTGTTATTGTTTCTTTTTTTTTTCTCCTTTCAACACTTTAACTGAGAATATGGCTCAGTAGTAGAGTGCATGCGTTGCATGCATGAAGCCCTGGGTTCAATTTCTCAGTACCACATAAACAGAAAAAGCCAGATGTGGTGCTGTGACTCAAGTGGTAGAGTGCTAGCCTTGAGCAAAAAAAAAAAAAAAAGCTCAGGGACAGTGCTCAGGCCCTGAGTTCAAGCCACACAACTGGCAAAATAAATAAATAAATAAATAAAATAATGTCACATTCCTTCCTATGGGAACTACTGGAATTTATACTTTTAAGGACATTAGGGTCACTGGGGGAAAAAGAGTAAAAAATAAAAACTACAGTACAACTTTTATACCTTGACTATTTCATAAAACATATTAAACTTATTAATACATAATGTTAATATTTTACTATAGCAATCATACATTTCACAAATGCCACATAAGATGTCCATCTTACTTACCAGTATCATTAGCCAGGGAGTTAGGATCAGATCCTCCAAGTGTGGCTTCAAACTCCTCCTGCAGACGATAAGCTCTTTGCAGCAGAGCTTCCAGTTTATGGATGAATTCAGTACTAATGATATCCTCCAAGACAGAACAAGTACACAAAGCAAATATTAGATTTGAGTATCAAATCCTAAATGTAGAAGATTTTCAGTAAGATAGCAAAACAGAGAGAGAAACAAGAAAAAGTACTGACAGGTAGGAAATGAATTCTGCAGAAGTTGTCAGGCTTGAGGTCTAGCTATGTCTTAAGCAAAATTATCTTCCTTGAGGATTCCATTTATCTATAAAATTAAGAAGCTAGAGCACATCAGGGGTTCTCAAATAAGGATGATAGAACAGCAGTATCCTTATCATCTGAGAACTTATACAAAAGGCAATTCTCATGATCCACTCCAATCCTACTGAATTAGACAGCCTGGGCATGGATCCTTAAATCTAAGCACTAGATGACTCTGATGCCTGCTCAAGTTTGAGAGCTACTAGTCTGCCTGAACAGTCAACAAGGACCAGCCCAGTTCTCCCTCTCTGCAATTTTTAAGAACACAACATTAAATCCAAAGTAAAAACAGATGTCTTCAAATCTTTTGGAAGTCACATCTGCTTAGGAAAGTCAGGGAATTTGATGGATGGTAACTAAATGAACAGAAAATGCCCAATAAGAAATAGTCCCAACGGACTCTATGGGGTGAGGGATACCAGTTTTATGAAATGGCACAGAAGGAAAGTACATTAAAAATTGTTGAATTCTGGGCTGGGATGTAGCTCAGTGGCAAAGCGCTTGCCTAGCAAGTGCAACGTCCTGGGTTCGATCCCCAGTACCAAATAAAAAAAGAAAAAACAAAAAAAATGGTTGAATTCTTCCAATATGAAGATGACTCTTCAATAAGCCACCCTTACATCTACACTCTCTTCAGCAATGGCATCTCCTGCGCCCAGTTTAATGGAACAGGCTTCATCTTCAGCCTGCCTATTGCGAAAGGTCAGAGCTTGCTCCCAGCGACGCAAAGCCTCTTCGAACAATTCCATACCTACAAATTAAAGACAGAGTTGTTGAAAGTGAGTAAAACCAAAGCAAAAATACTCTGGTCTGGTGGTTAAATTTTCCCTATAGTTATCACAAATGTCACAGTCTAGCTGAAATTTCCACACAAACGAATAAGTTTACATATGTATCACTTCATACAATTTTAATTCCCCAACATAGCCTGGACTCACAGTTCTAGTAAACCAAAAATTAGACAGAAATGGCTAATTAATTTTTTTAAATAATGTAACTCAAATGTACATGATACTCAGAATTTATCTAAAGCATTATCATTAATTCATCAAAAGTTCAAGGCTGATGACTAATTTTTTTGTTGTGGTTTTTTTTTTCAAACTGCATATTTTTTGTCTTCTCTTTTTGGTACTGGGAATTAAAGCAGGACGTTGCACTTGCTAGGTAAGTGCTTTGCCATTGAGCTACATCCCAGCCCTTAAGGTTAATTTTTATAGTTATACAACTATATTTCAACATACCCCCCCTAAATAAAAAAGCATAGGTAAATATGAGAAAAATTAATTTATAGAATATTATAAAGTTTAAAAGTTCTTAGAAGGAAGCAGTAATTAGAGAGAAAAGTTAATAGCATAGAAATCCAAAATGAAATCTTTACCAACCCCAAATGCTGTTCTAAACCACTATTATCCAATTTGTTGATATGGATGGATAAATTGGTGTACCAGAGTTAAAAACTGGAAGATAGGGCTGGGAAAGTGGCTCAGTGGTAGAGTGCTTGCCTTTCATACATGAGGCCCTGGGTTCAATTCCTCAGTATTACATAAGCAGAAAAAGCTGAAAGTGGTGCTGTGGTTCAAGTGGTAGAGTGCTAGCCTTGAGCTGAATTACTGAGGGACAGTGCCCAGGCTCAGGGTTCAGGCCCCAAGACTGGCAAAACAAAAAACTGCAAGATAGTGAGTAAATCTATAGTTAATACAGTTCAAATAGGAATTTTATGTTGTTGCTGAGAGAAAGTTTTCATGGAAAAAAAAGACAAACATGTACTTTTTTTTTTTTTTGGTCAGTCGTGGGGCTTGAACTCTGGGCTTGAGTGCTATTCCTCAGCAATTCAGCTCAAGGCTAGCATACTACCACTTGAGCCACAGCACCACTTCTGTTTTTCTAGTAGTTAAATGGAGATAAGAGTCTCATGGACTTTTCTGCACGGGCTGGCTTTGAACCATGATCCTATGATCTCAGCCTGCTTAGTAGCTAGGATTACAGGAATGAGCTGGCATCTGGCAAATAAGTACTTTTTTCTTACCAAAATAATTACACACTTAAAGCAAAACCAAAATATATTAAAACATCAACTATTCCATCCATTTAAAGAAAAAGAAGTCCTGTGCCAGTGGCTCACATCTATAATCCTAGCTACTTAGGAAGCTGAGATCTGAGAATTGTGGTTTGAAGCCAGCCTGGTCAGGAAAATCTGACACTCTTATCTCCAAATAATTACCAAAAAGCCAGAAGTACAGCTGTGGCTCAAGGGGTAAAGTTCTAGCCTTGAGCAAAAAAACTCAGGGACAGTACTCTGGTCTGGTGGTCAAGCCTCAGAACCAGCACACACACAAAAAAGAACTTTTAACAACTATGTAAGAATTAGGGGGGCTGGGAAGGTGACTCAGTGGTAGAGCGCTTGCCTTGCATGCAAGAGGCCCTGGGTTTGATTCCTCAGCACCACATAAGCAAAAAGAAAAAGCCGGAAGTGGCGCTGTGGCTCAAGTGGTAGAACGCTAGCCTTGAGCTGAAGAGCTGAGGGACAGCACCCAAGCCCAGAGTTCAGGCCCCACAACAGGACCCCCCCCAAAAAAAAGAATTAGGGCAAGTTATTCTCAAGCTGTTTTTAGAATCTGGTAGGTTAAAAAAAAAATCTATCTCGTCTTACAGCATTTCCTCAATTACCTATGGAATACTAAACAAAATCTTAATATGCAAAAATAGGCCTTTCCTTCTTCGATTTTCTTTCTTTTTTTTTTTTTTTTGGGTCCGGTCATGGGCCTGAACTCTGGGCCTGGGCGCTGTCCCTCAGCTCTTCAGCTCAAGGCTAGCACTCTACCACTTGAGCCACAGAACCACTTGTGGCTTTTTTCTTTTTGCTTATGTGGTGCTGAGGAATCGAACCCAGGTCCTCATGCAAGGCAAGCACTCTACCACTGAGCCACCTTCCCAGCCCCCTTCTTTGATTTTCTATAGCAATATTTTTTTGCTTTTCTTCCTAAAAAAATTATATACTTAGTAAGTGGCACTTTGGCTCAAAACTGTACAGTTCTAGCCTTGAGCAGAAGAGCTCAGGACAGTACAAATGCTCCAAGTTCAAGCCCTACAACTGGCAAAAAAAAAAAAAAAAAGGAAAATGTGATATGAAACCTGAGAAGGAGACTGGACTAAATGTGGCCACAAGCAGATGCAAAGAACATATTCTCCTGAAGGTCTTCAAAAGAAATATGGCTTTATTGACATTGTGATTTTAACTCAGGAATAATGTTTTTGGACTTCTGGCCTCTATAACCAAGTGCATAAATTTCTTTTGCATTAAGCCTCTATATTTGTGGTAGTCTGTTAAAGCACCTTCAGGAAACTAATAAACTGGTTACATTATGTTCTGTAAAGTGGAACCAACAGATAAAAGATCAGTTAAACGTTATAGTTGCTTGGGGCTGGGAAGGTAGCCCAGTGGTAGAGCGCTTGCCTTGCATGCATGAGGTCCTGGGTTCTATTACTCAGCACCACCTAAGCAAAAAGAAAAAAGCCAGAAGTGGCGCTGTGGCTCAAGTGGTAGAGTGCTAGCCTTGAGCTGAAGAGCTGAGCGGCTGAAGAGCTGAGGGACAGCTCCCAGGCCCAGAGAGCTGAGGGACAGCTCCCAGGCCCAGAGTTCAGGCCCCAAGACCGAAAAAAAAGAAAAAAGTTATAGTTGCTTGTCTTAGAACAATTTAGTTTTTGCTTTGTTTTTCTTTTTTCCTCTGAGTGCTGGGGATCAATTCCAGGGCCTTGCACATGCTAGATAAGAACTCTACTACTGAGCCATATACCCACCCCAATTCATTGGTTTTGGCCACACAAGGTTTGAACTCAAGGCTAATGATTATTAAACAGATGCTTTACCATTTTAGCCATGTCCCTAGTCCTGCAATTTACTGGTTTTTATTTATTTGTTTTTAGATTTGGATTAAATATGAGTACAATATCTTAAAACTTCATAATGTTATTCCTACCCATTAAGTATAAGTTCTCAGGAGTGGTCACAGGAATATTTACAAGTTTAATATCATCTTCATCTGCTTTGTCCCAGGAATTAGAATTGCCACAAGCACAGCTATGACAAGAATTGACACTCTGGACCTAAAATTAGGATTGACAAAAGTTATTTCAAAGTCTTCCTTGAGTAGTATTTTGTGATGCTTTATATTCATATTATTTCTATGTACATAAGTTACAATCCTTCTTCCATAGACTGAAGAAATAATTCTGCTTAGCTCAATCAAACTTAGGACTCATGACTCTAAATATTTTGAGCCCCTGTTTACTAAAAAACATACAGGTTGAATAATCTTTTGAACATAAAAGTTCTTTCCATTAAAAAATGAAGCATTTGTATTTTTACTTATTTAAGTATTAATTTATAAATCTTATCTACACCTATTATAAGAAAGTTAACTTACTTTCCTTCATAACTGTTGACAATGCTGACTGCTAAATGATCCCCAGAAGTGTGTCACTTCCTCTTTCCCAATTTCACTAGTAGTACTTCTATGCCTATAAAGTCTCAAACTAAAAACCAGAAAGTCATCTTCAACATATTTCTTTCCATGTCTCTTAAATCCTTTTACCAAGTATTGAGTGACCCTTGTCCTCTTCTTCCTACTCCATTGCTATGACCTTAAACACTCATTACATACTATCTAAGAGGAGGAAAACTGAGGCAGAATCTAGGTCACAGCCTTAGCAGAGGAAATGACTAGATTGCTTGAGCAAGTCCAATAAGGTCATTCTTGTTACACTACTATCATATAACTCCTATCTGCTTTAGGTAAGAGGCATAGCTTCAACTATCAGTGGAGAAACTTCTAAGAGGGTACTACTTGGACACTAAGAAAGTTCAAGCCCTAGGACTGAAAAAAAATTTTTTTTACAAAGATAAGAGAAAGAAACTGAAAGCCAAGCGCCAGTGGCTCACGCTTGTAATCCTAGCTACTCAGAAGGCTGAGATCTGAGGATCAGAGTTCAAAGCCAGCCCGGGCAGGAAAAATCCATGAGCCTCTTATCTCCAATAAACCACCAGAAAACCAGAAGTGGTGCTGTGGCTCAAGTGGTAGAGCACTCAGCCTTGAGTTGAAGAGTTGAGGAACAGGGCCCAGGCCCCAAGTTCAAAAAAAAAAAAAGAAGAAAAAAAAAAGAAACTCAAGATTGTTATTTCCAAGAAGGGGAACTGAGTGAATGGTTTAGAAATACATTTTTCACTGTATATTTCCTTGCCTGTTCTGTCTTTACCAGAAGTGCATGGCCTCTACATTTTTATAAAAAGTAAGCTACATCAGATTTAAATGAATATGAATTTCATTCCTCATTTGTCAATCAATACTATATTAAAGCCCTATAGAAGAAAAAAAATCCACTTATTAGTTAGTACTATATGCTTCAATGGAAGAGGGAAGAAGCCCATACTTTACCTCAGCATGCCTAATACTTTGACTTAAATGAAGGGATGTTTGTGACCCCACCCCCAGTCTAACTGTCATGTCCACATACTGAACAGCATGTAATTTTGAAACAGTACTGTCACATTGAAACTCTCTCACAGGACCCTATCTATGGACTGTATCTCTTACTTAATGAAACCTGGGATCAAACCACCTGAATATTTAGCCAAAGAATTTTTTTACTTGTCTAACCAAAACAGATTCAAATAAATGATTTCTTGTTTCTTTCCATTCTAAGAGCCGTGACAGATAATAAGAGATACATAAACAAAAATAGGAAAAATAACAACATATATTTCATACTCACAGAGGCCAAACTTTGTGCAGAACCTGAGTATTTACTGAAAAGTCCCCCATTGGCATAGTTACAAGATTGAGATCCTTTGTCTTTGGTGGAACTTAAAGATAATGTTAAATTCTGTCTACTACTGGAACAACTTGAACCTATGATAAAAACAAATATAAAATCATCACTAATTCTAATGACAAATTTTAGATTACATTTATATTCTATTAGTTCAGAAACCTCTGCTATCTCAGACATACTGTACTCAATTATGTAAATTTAAAAATTATTAAATGACCACATTATTGGTATCTAGGGGTAGAATTATGGCTCAAGAGAAGATCTTTTTCTTTTCTTTTTTTGGCAAGAAAACTTAGCAGAGCTTCATTAAGTAAGGAAGCAAACAAGCAGACAGACAAACAAACAGAAGGACAGGGGCACACTCTAACAGATTGTGGTGCTCTCGGAAGAAGATAGAGAGAGACACCAAAGAAGATCTTTTGACAAGAATGAGGTCCTGGGTTCAATCCTCAATACTGAACAAAAAGAAAAAAGAATCACCAAAGCATAAAACACACTAAATAACAAAAAAGTTAAAAAAATCTAGCAAAAATGTTTTTAGTGCTATGATTTTTGTAATATGTACCTTATTTCTAACAAAAATTTCAAATTCTTTAATGAAGGCCAGCAATTCTATAACTTCAGATTCTATGACAACAGATACAACATTTTTCAAGGAACAGGGAAGCCAGGTGCTCGCCCGCCGGTGGCTCATGCCACCATAAAAAAAATTCTAGCTCTTCAGCTGGGATTGAGGATTGAAGTTTGAAGTCAATCCAGATAGAAAAGTCTATGAAACTCTTATCCCCAATTAACCACCACACAGCGAGAAGTAGAGGTGTGGCTCAAGTAGTACAGTGCTGGACTTGAGCAGAAAAAGCTAAGGGAGAGCTTGAGGCTCTAATTTCAAGACGCAGACCTGGCATGGGGGGGGGGAGGGGAGGAAGGGCAGGCAGGAGGCAGACTGGCAGGCCAGACAGGACACTATATTAAACTAATTAGGATACATTGGTACAAATTTAACATGAATTACATATTAAAAATGATAGTACATGGGCTGAGAATGTGGCTTAGTGGTAGAGTTCCTCAGTACCACATACACAGAAAAAGCCAGAAGTGAAACTGTGGCTCAAGTGGTAGAATGCTATCCTTGAGCCAAAGAGGCTTAGGGACAGTGCCCAGGCCATGAGTTCAAGCCTCAGGACTGGCAAAAAAAAAATGATAGCATAGGATAACTGTTTTTTTGGCTCATCTGCTCATTCTTTTGAGTAGCCTTCATTTTCTCTGTTAAAATGGCAGCACAAACATAAATTTATTGACCTGGAAAGGTATTTCTTTTTTTTTGGGGGGGGGGGTCCGGTGGTGGGGCCTGAACTCTGGGCCTAGGCGCTGTCCCTCAGCTCTTCAGCTCAAGGCTAGCACTCTACC